CTCTGTTATGGTGTTGCTATAGTAAGGATGGAAAAATAGGAACATTTTACCGCTGCGCTGTTTGCATTTCCCGACAGTGAAGAAGCAGCCCCTTATTAGCCGGCAACATTGTTGTGACATCAGTGGTGACTTTGCTGCTTGGGATTCAGCTCATGAAATAGTTTCCTCCCTGGTGCAATTCTTTTTACTTTTTTTTTTCTTCTTTCACCTTTCATGTTTCATTTTCATGCTAATAAGTGGCAAAATGGCCAGCCATGTTTCCGGTCTTTTCAAGAATGGGCTACCAACGATGCTAACTTAGCTGCTTGACCCAGTTCTAAAACTTCGCAACTCCAGGAGCCACTTTCTCATAGCTACCTCTGAATGGGTAAAGAAGCTGCCCTTGTCCGGTCCTGTCAGGGTGGGCTGGGGGTGGAACTTCACATCCCAAGTGGAGTAGGGACACCCTGGCACAGAGGAAGCAGGGGCTCTGTTACAGAACACAACAAGGGGGCCTGGGACGATATACTATTATTGAAAGAAGGCCCCGGGTCCGTTATGTCCGCCGCCAGAGGAAAGACGTCTCTCAATGCCAGAGATTCGTGAAATGGAAAGGAAATGTTTATTTAATGCTATTCAAACTTAAAGTAGTGACCTAATGTCTTTATCAAAAATCCCAAAGTCCCTAAAAACACCCACAAACATGCAGTCCTTCCTTCCTTCCCCCTTTGCCCAGTCCAGAGTACCGTATCTCAGGAAAGGAAATAGAAGTCCATGGCTCAGGCAGTCCTTTGGTTCTTAGTTAGTCCTCCATCTCGACTGGGAGACCTCCCTGGGTTCCCGGCACCCTCCGCTGAGTCGCCGGGACCTCTGCTAAAACCAGGTGGTGGTTCCCCCTTTTAAAGCTGTGGGGGTCCCCACTCTGGCACAGGCACGTGGTCCTCTCTCCCAGGGCCACTGGAGTCTCCACTCTGCCAAAGCCGCGTGGTTCCCCCTCCTCAGGGCTGTGGGAAGGGAGAGTCCCCACTCTGTCAAAGCTGCGTGGTTCTCTTCCCTAATGGCCGCCAAGTCTGGGTTTTAAATCCCCGTGGCCAATCTTCCTCTGTAGCCTCATTTCCGACTCCTCCCACACTCGGCTTCACTTGCCAGAATTCATATCCTTCCAGCTTTACTGGGCTGCCATCATGAGTCTGGGCAGGTGTGGCCCCATGTCCTAGAGCCAATCTTCTCTGAGCTCCCATGCAGGCGCTGTAGCTTGGGGGATCTGCCCCCAGTCACATCTTGGTGGGGAAGTTACTTCCATTCCCCTGGCTCAGAGATGATCACGGCTATTTAACATATCTAAGTGACCAGCCAAAGGCTATAGATAAGTTAAATGACCACGCCAGAGGGTAGCTGCAAGGCTGTTGCTATGCAAAACAGCTCTCAATGGCCCTGCTCCATTTGTCCCTTCCCCCAACCCACACGGGGGGCGAGGGGGAGACATCTTAAAATCTCCTGGACACCTTAAGTTCTGGACCCCATTTCAAATGCCCCATTTGGGGTCCCCCCTCTTGGCTGCACCCTGTAACAGCTCTGCTGGCACGGGGTGTCGGTGCCTGAGTCGGGGGAGGCTGCTCTCTGATGTAGGGGTGAGGCAGGCGCAGGAGGGGCCCTCTGGAGTGTTGGAGACTGCTGGAATGAGAAAGATTTCTCTGCCAGGGGATGGGGACAGTGGAGGTGACAGTAACTTGGTTATACACAGGGCGACCAATTAAATAAGAAATATATTGAGGAAAATTGGAGTCAGGCTTCTCATGATTGGAGAAGAGAAATACACATATAAAAAGGGAGAAAACTAAAATGGGAATATAAGAGTTAAATTGTAGATATTAGTAAAATCTCATGGTTTTCAATACATGGAGATATAGAAGTAAACGCAGACATAAATGTACATGTAGGTGTTTGTGTGTTGTTGTAATCTATTTTTGTATTTTTTTAAAATAAATACTAAAAAAAGTTAGTATAGGGTAGTAGTACTATTTAAAAATGGAGGTGCAGCACTAACAACATGGTGTTGTTCAAAGAGTAAGTGAGGTCATTTGTGCAGTGGGTGTAACCTAGTGCCTGACCCACAGTGAGCTTTTAATAACTGTTATTATTCCCCCCTGGGATAAAAGCATATCATGAGCACTGTTCTGCATCTTGGTTCTTTCCACTAAAAATATATCTTTGAAATCTTTTCATAATAGTACATACCTTGTTTTTTAAAATTTATAAATCTAGCTTGGGTTTTTTACTATATTTTATAATTAGAAAAAAACAATGATCATGGGGGGATAATCTGCCTTAGTATGTCATCTGCTGATGACTCATAATTTAATTAATTCTTGTTGCCAATGGAAACCTCTGGTTGAACAAGGCAAGTGGTATTTTAATAGCAATTCTTTAGTGGGGGGGATGAAAAAAACCTGTAACACCAAAAACATACAATGCCAAATCTATGGACTCAGGGGTATTCACACTAGTTTTTTCTGCTTTTGGAAAGCTCTGAAGCAAAAGAACTGGCTAATTGAAACAGCTATCAAAATTCATTTCTTCATTCATTTCTTCAGTCTCTGGACAGACACCCCTATAAAGACTGCTGTGACCAGAGACTGTCTGATGTGCTAGGAAGGCAGCAGTGAACACAGGCGTTCCTGCCCTTTAGGGGAGGAACTCTCTTATTCTAGTGGTTGGCAGACAGATGATAAACAACCACCCTGTCTTGTGTGATACACAGGTGGTAATAAATTATACATTAGATCAGTCTCTTTCCTTCATGAAGAAAGATAATTGGATAATTTTTAAAAGTTTGTGCCTTACTTATCATTTGACTTTTAATAACCTTTTGAGCCTTGGTTTCCATATATCAAAAATGGAGGTAATAATAATTATCTTATAAGGTTGTTGTAATCAAGTATGTTAAATGCCTGGCATAGAGCCAGCCCCTTAGCAGGTACTTGATAAACAGAGCCATTATTACATGTAAGTTGTATAATTTTTGTTTCTTGTTTGTGTGACTAAGATAAAGGGATTGCTTTGATTGAAGCTCTTTCTTTCCCCAGGCTGGGTATGTCACTGACATAACCCCAGACCCTACTAACCTGTTCTGATATGGAAGTCACATTCCCTGTCCTTTCCTGTAACACCTCCCACCCACAGGAACAGGAAGTCCATCCTTCTATTGGGTTGCCTTCCAGAGGAATCCCAGGAAATCTGTTACCTGCACTGCAGCCCACACTTTGAAGGTCACTTTGCACTTCCCACAGCTGGCTTTTCCAGGTGGCCTTTATTTCAAGCTGTGGCTCACACTCAGCTCTACAAAGCACACTAAGGCCGGATTGGCCCTGCAGAATATACTGAATATTTAGGGCTTCATCCTGAAAACACGAAGGAAACCGAAAGGTTTTAAATAGGGAATGACTTTGCTTCATTTATGTTTGAAAAAGAATCCTCAGATTAGTCTGTGTAAAATGGGGTAGAGGAGTTAGCAGAATAAGCAAGGAGAGTGCAGCCCTGCTGTAATCCAGGTAGAAAATGGCCAAGCTGGTCTGAGCAGCAGAGAGGTAGAGAGCACAGGCTTGAGATTTATTCTTTTTGGAGACAGAATTGATAGTGCTGCTGGTGGAATCCATGTAGGAGTGGAAAGGAATAGGGAAGTTTTCAGTTTAAACAAGAGGGTGAATTTATTTATATCGCTGTGCCATGTATTAAAAATGGAAAAAAACTCATGGCATTTAATACAAAGTCTACTAAGAGCTAAGGGAATCTCAAGTTCAGTGCATGACACTGCAGGGATCAGTGGGTACTCTTGAGTTTTACTGCTGGCCCTAAACAAGCTGAGGGGCCCCAGCCTAGCCTGTGGAGGCCTCTCCATGGCCGGGACCAGCTCAAACCACACCTGCAAAGTGTCCAGGCCTCTGCAAGCCTCAGTCCCATGCCTAACCCATCATTCCTCTCAGAGCAAAGCAGTTCCTCTCCTCTTCTATTCTGAGGCATGTTCATCTTCCACCATGGGATGACTAAGGCTGGGGAAAATCCTCCCTCAGCTGGGGGATGGCCTCGGCTTCAGTGCCTAGCCAAGGCCATCAGCAAAACACCCAAAAGTGCATTTCCCAAAGTTTGAGCTCTTCAGAGTAAAGTATGAACAGGAAGTTGGGCATAGTGCAGCTTACAAACATTTTATGTCCAGAAAAATATTTCTTGCATTCTTCAAGAGCAAAGCCTGTTACATGTGTCCATAATTTCCATTACAAAGCGAAACACTTCACATCTCATGTACTGTGGCATCTGTACTCAGTTGTATGGGAACCTCAGTATGTTTTTCAAGCACGAGAAGAGTTATTTGCTTCAAATTTTTGCAAATGAAAGGTCATGCATATGGCTTTAAAATAAAAGCAGCTTCCAAGAACAGTTGTTTGGACAAACAAGCCAACAACCAATCTCCAATGGATGCCTGCCCTTATGTACCCGAGGGAGCCTTTCTATGGCACAAGCGTCTCCTTCTCATTCTTATTAAATAAATGCACTTGTAAAATAACTGGGTCTTTTTTTAATTGCTCCTCTCTTTTATTTTATTTTTTATTTTTCAATTACAGTTTACAGTCAATATTATTTTGTATTGGTTTCAGGTGTATAGCATAATGGTTAGACCATCATACTTTATAAATTGTTCCCCTAGATATTTTGAGTACCCACCTGGCACCATATAGAGTCATTACAATATTATTGACCATATCCCCTATGCTGCGCTCTGCATATCTACAACTATTTTGTAATTAAATGCTTCTTAATCCCTTCACCTCTTTCACCCCATCCCCTCTAGCAACCGTCAGTCTGCTCTCTGTGTCTATGAGTCTGTTTCAATTTTGTTTGTTCATTTATTTTGTTCATTAGACTGCACATATAAGTGAAACCATATGGTATTTGTCTTTCTCTGACTAACTTATTTCACTTAGCATAATACCTTCTAGGTCCATCTATGCTGTCACAAATGGTAAAACTTCATTCTTTTTATGGCCAAGTCATATTCCATTGTATTACATGCTGCATTTTTATCCACTTGTCTACTGATGAGTACTTGAGTTATTTCCATAACTGGATCTTAATCAGAAGTAACACCAGGTTTGCTTTCCAGAGCAGCTACTGCATATGACTGGATTCAGGAGGTATTTTTAAAACAAGGTGGGGATACATGGGTATCTCTAGAGGAAAGATTTGTGTGCAAGATTTTAGTGTCCAAAAAAGCCATCACCATAATTCAAAGTGTAATTAGAAGTCTTTACCATCCTGGGTCTCTTGGCTTTGCCTCCTATACCTCCTCCCCACCCTGACATGGACTTCTATGAGGTATCCATTCATTTTCCTCCCAGAGGCTGGTGCTCAGCTCCACTTTGCCAGCCTCTCTAGCAGCAGCAGAAGTAAATAATAACGACAGCTTGCAACATTTGTTAAGCTCTTTCTGTATACTGGTAAGCAATGTGCCTAGCACTTTACAAAGCATCATCTTATAATCTTGTAATAATTCTGTCAGGTGGTAATATAATATCATTATACTCATTTTACACACAAGAGGCACGAAGCCTGACAAATTAGGTCTTTTCTGGTAAGTGTCTGAAGTCAGGCTTCGGTGACTTCAAAGCCCAAGCCCTTTCCTCTTTGCATTCAGCCCTTTCTTGTTCCCTTTCTTTGTTTCTCCTGGCTCATGCTTCCTGTTATTAGCCTCTCTATTCAGATAACTTCCCTACAACAGATTGATCTTGCCCAGTTCCCGGGTGCCCTGAGGATTCCCTGGCAACAAACAGGTCTTGAAGTCTTCAGCTAACTAGTGTCTTTGCAAAGTGCTCTCTGCCGCCCCCACCCGGCAAGACTTAACACTGACTAGCTTCTTAGTCAAACACATTTCTTAAGAATAGCATGACTTTTTCATGTTTCTAGTTCTATTAATCAAATGCATAAGTGTTACCATTTAAATTAAAATAAGGGTGATCAATTCTCAAGATCAGGATTTAAGAATACATTCACGGTCTCACAAAGGACTGAAAACAAGGTATTATAAATTTAACTTGGAACTGGATACAAGGGTCCTCAAGAAAAGTTGACGGGAAGTAAGCCTATTTCAAATTCAAAATCCTTTGAGGCTCTTCCTAGAGATGAGAAATTACAATTTCTAAAATAAATACTCTCACTCTTTAACATCATTTATTGCTTATGTATATTTTATTCATAAAGCTTTGCAAGAGTGTTTCAGGAATGTTGGTCTACAGTGTAAATTTACTATTGTGAGAAGGTCATTACTTCTTCAGCTTACTGGGAATAAGCCAATGTGCAATTAGCAATTGTTTTTTGGAATGCTAAATTATTTGTTTGATTCTGTTGTTTGCCAGGCATACAGCAGTTATTCAGTAAATGTTTGGTGAATTATAAAGAGTACCTAAGTAGCTTTTACAAGGTACAGAGGAGTGGAGAGGAATGTTATTTGACTTGGGTTAACACTGGAATTTTTCATAAACACAGAGTTGTTTGGAGGCTTTAATGCAATAAAACACTACTAGTACAATGAATACCCATTTCATTGTACTAGTTAATGACTTTCTCAAGCATTTGGCTTTCTTACCATGTGATTAGCACTGTTAGTTCTAGACCAATCAATAGGCACAATTCTAAGATTAAGAGTAATTTGGATCATTATTCTCCTTCCATCACATGTTCATTATGTTCTGTTTGAATGAGACTGGTAATCAGTGTTATTTACCAGTCTTTACAGTGAAACTTTAAATCAATGATTGTTCCTGCCTTTGCAGGTATTAAACACCATTTCAAATATCCTTTCAATAGTTTTACAGAAGCTAATGAAGTCCATGTTTCCAGAGTTTCAGTTCCCTGAAGGAACACTGGGACCCAAGGGTCCTTAAGAAGTGTGTGTGTTCCATATGTGGCAGCTGTCCCTCAGAAAGTCACTTAAGTATAGAAAAGTACTTTTTCTCCTCCTCAATTGCTTTTCTTTAAAAATCAGTTCACAAATTATCCTAGAAATATATATAGAATACACACGGAGGTCCTGTGATGTTCTTTGATATTGAAAAATTCAAATATTATAACTCTAACATAGGCAAGAAATTATAGGACAATACCCTTTAATTTTGGATTTAATTAGTAAAACTTAAAAAATTCTCTTGGTACTCTGGGTAGATTTCTTCAAAAGTTATTAGTTTTTATAATCAGTTCTAAAGCTTGAACATTCTGTATGACTTGAATGCAACCTTTTTTTCCTGCCTTGTCCTTGAATTCTTTCCAAAAATCATCAAGTATTGGACACACACAGTAATGGCAGATTTGCTTAACCGTCACTATTAATCCAGTTTATAACCTCTAACATTTTGTACAAGGAGTTTCAGAAAGAAGCCCTTACAAAGACATCTAATGTCCAGAATAACCAGAGCCAAATACAATAATTTTACAATTGAAAGAAAGCCAAGATGCACATTTTCTGAATGTGGTTTTACTGAGAGTCTCCATGCAGATGTAATATGGCTTTTAAGAGCGTAATCTTCATGGAAAAGGTCTTCCTTGTCATAGTACTGAGCTGACTTTCAAGCCAAGGTCAAAGGACTTTCTGCAGATCTAGGTTTAATTTTCCGTTTCTCAACAGGATGCTCCCAGTTTCGAGTCAGCGCCTCACGGACTGGGGCATTGTGCGGTGAAAGGAGGAAGAATTCTACAACGCTGCTGCCCCCTGCCTCTGCCCGCAGACTCCCTGCCTGGTGCCTCTCGTGGTGGTTGGCGCTCTCCAGTCGGCCACAGCCTGTGGTCACCTTGCCCCTCTGAGAAGGCAAGTCACACTTGGGGCTCTCCCTCCCGTTGTCTCTTTTAAATCTTCTGAGACAGGGGTGACCTTATGTTACCATTATTAATCACGAGTTGTCTAGATCTTCCAACTGTAAACCTGAAGGGAAAAGTAGTGAGGTCAAAGTGATTTAATTTAGATGGCAGTGAGAAAGACCAGGAAACAAGAGCATGTTGATAGAAAATGTCAAATGCCATTCATTTGTTTTGAAATTGAATACAGAGGACATACAAGTCTGCAACAAGAACGAATCAATGCATGCATTTTTGTTTCACGGTATGGCCTTTCACTCACAGAGGTGGAAGTGTGAAGATGAAAGGACCAGAGAGGAAGACAAGCAACCAACCTTGATGTGGGCAGAATTTCTGAGGGAAAAAAACACCTAATGTAATAATCATGTATCCGCCCCCCAATTGCTATGTTTTTAAAAGTACTCCCTAAGTTTATTATATGCAGTGCTTTGATGTTATAAAAAGTTTAGAAGCATATTTAATCATAGATATTTTTTCTTCTTTTTAAGGTGAGAAAAGATTTGAAAATTCTATTGTGGATATTGGAGAATATCGCTTACACTCCATGCGCCCCATAAATTTTACTTCCATTTCATAAGAGCCCCATCTTGTGGTTATTTGTAAACTTTTCACTAAGGATATGTTGCATTTTCACAGTTAGGGGTATTAGTGGTTTCCTCTCCTTTAATTTTCTCTTTAGGCTAGTGGAAGTCAAGCAAGGAAGGAGAACAAGCATGCATCAATTCAGTTTAAAAGGCCATAGATGGTGGGTGGGGGGCAGTATGTGATAGGTATTCAGTAAATGCGGGCTGAATTAATGTTGAGTGAAGGAGGGCTGTGTTAGAGGCTAGGAGGGAGTGCACTAAGGCCCTTCCAGTTGCAGCACCACCAGCTCCCTTGTTATCTTATGTCTGTCTACTTTGCTGGACCTTGGAGGCTTTCTCGCTGATTTCTGTATCCTTACCACTCAATACAGAGCTGGGCCAGGCCAGGTCCCTGCAATGGAGTGGACTCTTTGGTCTCACAGGGCAGAAATACAACAGGAACTAGTGTTAGAAGAACTGAAAGGTAATGGCTCATGCAACTAAACAGCCAGTGGGACAGAAGAAGTGATCAGCTAAGAAAGATTTGAATGCCAGCAGGACTCTTTCTCCATCCTGTGTCTCTGAGTCTCTTTGCTCATTGCTACATTTTCTCCTCTGCTTATTAACTGGCTCTTGGCAGCTTCCAGGCTCACATCTTCACAGTTCTCTAACTATAGGGAGGAAGCCCTCCTTTGCCAGACAAGTTTTGAAGGAGAAGAAGATGGTCTGATTGTTCTTTTTTGGGCCATATGAACAAACACCCTTTGGCCAACTGCAGTGGCCAAGGCCATGAAAAACTTTAATTGGCTACGCTTGAGTAAGTGGACCACTGCTTAGCCAGTCCCTGTGGATAAGGATGCAGGGTGGTGTGAAACAAACAGAACATCTGTCTGTAGGGGGGAAGAGAAGTAGTTTCTCTATTTCTCTTAAGGAGGAGACAAATAGCTCGACACACCTACCTGAAAGATTCCTTCTTCCCCTCTCCTCTCATTGTCTATCATTTCACCCAATATATACTTGCTTGATAAATGAAAGATTTTCCAGGCAAGTAGAAGATCCAGAGTAGGTATCAGTGGTACAAGTTTGAGGATAAAATCTGGAGCTGGAGAAACCACATGTTTTCTTCCCTTACTAAATCTTTGAGCTTTTTTCTCTCCCCAGCTATGGCCATGCCTGTTCTTTCTTTGTTAGAGTCTAAATCAAACATTCTGGTTTTTTTTCCCTTGGACTCAATAATATCTTTATCCTTCAGCTATTTTCTCCTCCTAAGTTCTGGCCTTTGTCTACACCCACTTTCCCCGGCACCCCTACGTCCCCTGCCACGTAAAGATAATGAGACAAAAATAATGAACATGACCAAGTTTCAATGTTTGAATAATCCTCTCAAACTGTTTCTCCTTTTAGGATATTCAAAGGATGCACACAATCAAAAAGATCTTTTTCCTCCCTGTGACATTGCTTTGATTTTATTTAAATACTGAAGCAATTTATGTTGCTAAGATAATTGAGGTTCACTTTTGCTTTTCGAGGTAACATTTTATTTTGAGCATTTTGTTCTCTTAGATTTTGAAAATATGACTTTGAGTCATTATAATATTCCATTGTATTTTCCCAAAGTATGTAACTATTATCCTGCTCTTAGAATTTTAGTTATTTACAATTTTATTATTATAAAGAACATTGTGATGAGTGAGTGCTACTGTTATCTTTAACCACATCTTTGATTTTCCTTAAAAGATATTCATGAAAATAGGACTATTAGATTGAATCATATGAATATTTTTCTTATAAACTTATTCCACTTTTTCCCCATTATAACATTTTAGAAAAATACTAAAAATACATAGAAAAAATAAATGCAATTTATAATAAGCTCACAACACTGACAGAGTAAATATTACAACTTTGTTGCACATTTTTCTTTTCATGTATACATATAGTTTAAACAAAGCATAATTACAAAGACACTTTGATCATCTTTATTCACTTAACAGTAATTCACATTTTTCTATACTGTCAACAGTTTATAATGGCCCATAGTTAGTTTATTGTGTGGATGGATACTATAATTTATCAACTGACTCATTGTTGAACATTTAGATTGTTTCCATCGTAGGCCATTTTAACTAGTTCTTGCACATAAATCTTGGTGCACATATCCGATGCAGGCGTGAGGTGCCCATGTTTCGAGGCAAGTTATAACTTTTAAAAGTTAGATAGATGGAACGTGGCCTCTGGTTGTACCCTTGCCTGGACCCCACAGGTGTTAGGGATGGGTCTGGCTGACAAGGACCAGGTATGTAGTCCCAAAACTGACAAGGCCCTGGCTGGGGGCGGGGGGGAATTCGTAAGGTGAGAAGACAGTGTACCTTCTGTAACTCTTGGGGGGAATTTAAATAGCAGCATAACCTTGGGCTGGGGAGCCAGCAGGGTGATATTGGGCAGATCAGTTAGAACAGGTGTTTGGCAAAGAAGAGACAAGATTAAGGGTACAGATCCTGGAATGGTAACAGGCACTCAATAATATGAGTTTTCTTTCCTACAAAGAGAAGGTGCTTACCTATCAGGTTCTTACCTTCTAGGCACCTTTACGTATGAAGACACAAAACACCTTTATACAGCAGGCAAGCCTAGAGGGAGAACAAACAGCAAACTAGTGCATGCACACGCAGGAATGTGTTGTACCACTTGTTTGTATGAAAGATAAGCCCAGAGGTTTTGTTTTATGCTGTTTAGGTAGAAAAGTCACAGACGGGGCTTCCAAAGTCACTGTCATCTGTAGCCACTGTCTGCCCCAACCAGTTCCAAGAGCTGCCTCTCCCTCCTACAGCTGGCAGAAGCAAGCTTCTGCAGGGGCCCGATGGGGAAGAACCAAGCTGTTTAGGAATGAACTGCCCACCTACTGTTAAGTAATGTTCTGTCTCTAACACAGTCTTTCCACTTAGGAAAATGTGCTGTGCACTTGGCTGCAGCCTTGGCTATGCATCTGCTTGACAAGCCCGAACTGCTGCTCTGAGGCCCAGCTTTGAACTGGCAAGTGGTCTCTGAAGATTCCGCCCGCGTTCAGAGCCAGACTACATACAGTTGGGATAGAGTGAGGGTAGCAACGAGTCTGCTAGGAGTGTCTGGTGGAATCAGTTAGCAGAGTTAAACAGGGGAGCCCATCACTGGGTGACAGCCCTCCTAAAACTCCACCACCTAGCAGGACTCCCCAGAGCTGTCCAAGCAGTACGGGCTCCGCAGAGTGGGCCTCGCTGCAGTAGCCGGGTGGAAGGCAGTAAAGTTTTGTTATGGGCTTCCCAGCATTCAAGCTGAAGCCACTGTTTCCTTAGTTTTTCAATAGCACTCCATCTCTTATTACAAGTACAAGTTAATCTGGACTTTCCCCCCCCTTCTTTCCTAATGTCGGCAAAGAAATGTGTTTCTGATAATTAATACTCCCTTTGCTGCGTAGCTCTATTTCCTCAGGACTGTGGTTAGCAAATTGCTGGTGTACAGCATAGAACTAAGCAATGAAACAGAAGACACGTGCCTTCGTAATTTGCTGCTGATGAACAGTTATTTTCTATGATCAAAAACACACAAGCAGTTCCTCAAAAAGAATCGCATCAAATTCTACCACATCTCTCAACTCAACACAACAAAACACCCAAATGATTGAGTTTCTTAGGGAAATTTGATTACCAGATAACTGCAAGGTCACAAATTCTTTTGAAAAAAAAAATGCTTATTTCCGAAAGAATCCTTAGGCTCCACAGTCATGGAGCATACTAGAATACTTAGCCAGGTTCATCTGTAGCAGGCAGCAGGCTTGACCGAGCAGTAGTGTAATACAATTATCTGCATTCTTAGCCTATAAGGAATCTTGTGAGTATCATTTAATTCCTCTTGGTTATGGTCATTTTTAATAAAACTAATAAAACTTTTTAAAAAAGCAGATCTTCCTCCTGCTTTTAAAATGTTAATCGAGAAAAGATTATTACCCGTTCTTTCCATTAAGCCTCTCTGTTAGTGTCCTTAGAGTGAACTGAGTACCTGGCAGAAGTCAAGGTGTCTCTTAAAGGCCTCACCTCGTGCATACATTGATGGGTGATTTATGTTAGCCAAAAAAAGTTCTGAGGAACCAGACACTGCTGTGAAGTTTTACGCTGTGGATGTGTCTCTTTCATTTAAAAAAAAAAAAACTGAGTTCAATAAACAAATACTGTGGATCTGAGTCTTGATCACCCCTTTAAACCCATGTCCTCTTCTTGTGGAATTTGAACTTGAGTTCAGTGCAGGTGACCTTGACGATTGCTAGCCTTCGTCTGTAACCCTGGAGAGAGACCAAGGATTTCTTAATAATTAAGTGTTGAGATGGTCCCCTTCTCTCCTCACCTCATAAGCTGAATCAGGCGGTTGATGTTTCAGGCATACGTCCAATACTCTTCAATTTTTCCCTCTGCCTGAAATGGAGAGCCAAGAAAAAAATGAGTGAGTAGACTTTGTAACTACTCATTATGGGGCCGTTCATTACACTTTTTAGTGTGCAGTGTGTTAATGAGCGGAGACATTGTGGCAGAGGGTCCATAACTAACCCACAGTACTAACTAAGAGTAACAGCAATGGTGTCAGTATATGCTGTGGATATTAGGTGTTCCTGTAAATCGTGACATTTTACATAAGCTTTATTCTTGAGGCATTTAAAAAATATAAAGGCAGCAGTGAAATACAGAGCACGACATTAGTTGACACAGCAATTCCTACCTCCCAAGCCCCTGCTAAATAATGAGAGTTTAAATCTTCGTCTTGAAATATACAGCTCTTCTACGATTTTAAGTGAGTTGTAAAACTTTTATGGCGTGTGCCTTAACTTTACTTTTAAAATATTCTCCACTTTTATAGTAAAGGTGACTGAGATGGACCTTGTGAATAATAGAACAACATATTCAAGCCATTAACTTCACCTCTCTGAAGAATACATAAGCCTTCCTCATACACCATCCCTGGATGACAGTGGAAACAGGGAAGAATCTTGACTTAGCCATTTACCTAAAAACAGACTGATTTTAACTCTAGGAGTGGCCAGGTTGTACTTTAGAGAGGTAATCTTAAAATTTCTGCCACTAAGTTAAAATGAGGATTTAAAAGCTAAAGCCAATTGTTAAAGACACTTGGAGAAGAGTCAAATATTTGTTAGACCTGAGTGTTGAAACTGTAAAAAGTCTACACCCTCAGCGGTGGGCTTGGAGGTGCCGTTTTGGGACATGTGAAAGCTGACTTAGGCCTGCGGGATGAGTTCACTCCGTGTGTGCAGAACTAATTTTAAGTCCAAAAACTTTAGTGCTTTTTATTTACTGCCAGTTTCATCACTGAATTGCAATTCTCTGATTATATCGAGCTCCTGTAGATTTCTCAGTGAAGCACAAACATTTCATTTGCTTCCTTCCTTTGTTTCTTCTTTTTTAAACACACATACTTAGAAAATATTGTGGTCTATTAACTATAGTACATGCATACACATAGAGCGTAACATGGTGTGTGTGGCCCCATTGGGAGGTTATAACAATAGTGTTAAAAACGGAGAAAGCAGTGATCCATCTAGCTTCTGTCTTCCCCTCCCACTGAACTCACATGAAATAACTGGACTGTATTATATAACCAATGAAAAGCATTTAGTGAACAGTGTCTTTTATGTGAAGCTCCATTAAGCCTTATCCAAAGGACACTAGTTTTAGTCTCCTAATAAAAGTTCTGCTTTCTATCAACTCCCATGAAATATATACTTCCAAAAATATTTAGTAAGAATGTAAAAATATTTACAGAATTCAGGGATCTTCTTCAGACCATTTGGATTACACTAATATCCTGCTTCAGTATTCGCAGAGGGCAAGGAATGTCACACTGGGTCTTTTTTCCTCAACAGGAACCACTGTGTGGACGTTAGCTTCCTTTTTATCTACTCATTTGCTCCTCCCTTCTCCCTTCTCTCAACTCCCAATCTTGGTTTCAAGGGGAGAGTCAACCACCTGGGTCTAGGAGAGCGCTGCCAGGTTTGGAGGCGTGAGCATGGCTGTTTCCCACGTGACTTCAGAAGTGGGGGAAGTGTCCATGGCTGGAAAGCAGGTAGAGAGTGACGTCAGATGCCCTTTGTTACAGGGGATGTTCGATGAACAGTAGGTGTCTGCACTGGGTCAAGTCTGAGTGGAGGAACAAAGGTAATCCTGCCCCTTATATCAATAGACCGTTCCATTCCTGGAGTATTCACCAGAGGAATAGGCGGCATGATAGACCGGAGAAGAATGCAAAGAGGAGGTAAGGAAGGTGGGACATACAAGGAAAGAGGCAGGACAAGCGAAAGCTGGAGAGCCTGGAGTAGGGCCCGCTGGCCGTGGGGAGGCGAGGGGCGCCCTGGTGGGTGTGGAAGAGAGGATGCACACAAGCCTCCTTCCTCGGGTCGCTCTCCGCAGGCATCGTCCCACCACTCCCACCGCTTCTTTCTTGGCTTTCTCACAGTCTGAAAATAGTCAATCCATCCCTCCACTGTAAAAAAAAATGTTGAAAAGTCTCTTCAGCGAGGGCCTGTGTGGGCTATTTTACAATATTCCTGTAGCTTTCAACTGTGTGCACCAGTGTAATTATTTTAAAAATTATTTCAAACGGCCAGTATTAAGGAACTTTTTGGCATGATGGATCTGTATCCTGAAGATTCTTACACAAATATACACATATGTTAAAATTCATAGAACAGTATACCAAAAGAATAAAGTCCATTTCACTGTATTATGATTTTTTAAAAATAAAATAAAATATGACATTTTATTGTCACAAGAAAAAAATGCCCAGCTTCTTTTACACGTCTCTGTGTGTGCAATTAGTATTAAGGCTATAGTAGCTGTTGAAAAGAGACTAGATTTACTTGAAAGTTCCAGGCTTACTCTACTAAAACATTAATGCATCCAATTAAATAACACTTGTTAAACACTTGCTGTGTAATTCTCAAAATATTGCTTTCCTTGGGGAATGGGAGTTCTGTTTCCCCCTAAGGGTGTTCAGCAGGTCTGGTTTGCCTGACTTTGCATCTCTCCTTCCTTGAACGTCAGTGGCTCTCCTTTGCAAAGTGGGGTTCATTCTTGTGTTTTGCTCAGAAGCGTTGCTAGGAGGATCCCCCGGTGAGGTCCAGGGAGAGAGCTGTGTAAACTGCACAGAGACATATGAGCATGGGCACTATTGGGACCAGCTCTGTGTACCATTGAGCCCAAGGACTGACGGCAGGACTGAGGTGGCATTGCTGCTCCTTTGCTGAAAAGGAGAAAGAGAAAAGGAAGATTGGTCTTCCCTTCATTCCCAGGATACTGTTAAGGGTTGACACTCCCAAGCCCACACTAAATAGGCCTCCCGTCCCCCCTCCCCCTCACACAACCTGGCAGCCCAGGAAGAAGGGAGGAGGCAGTGCAGCCAGGAATATAATGTCCAGATTGCTAGAGAAGCTCATTGGCGCAGGGATGGAAAAATCTCCAGTCCCAGGGCTGCAGTTCAGATGGCCTGTGCCAAATCGTCTGTTTACAGAAGAAGGTGAACATTCTTTGATTGGCTGCAGGACGTGCTCCACCAATGTTCAAGGATGTGGAGCATGAACCCCGTGGGTAGAAACCATTGTGGCAGCATAAATAAGTAGGGCAGCTTAGTGCAAGAATGTTAAGTGTCTCTTGGTTCGTTTCCCTTTTTCCAACTTTTGAAAGAGACATGGTTACAGGGAAACGTTTTATGATTTTAGGAAAAGCGTCAGAGCAGTGGAAAATGGAAACGGATGCATAGCCTCGGAGCAAATAAAGAATGATAACTGCGGCCAGTTCTGGGTACAGGGAACAATTGCTAGGGACCAGGGCTTCACTGGGCCACGGGCCTCTGCGGCAGTCTGGTGAAAAGCCTCTGAGTCCTTTCTCAGGATGATGTTTTTAAAGGAAGTGAAACACATAGGATCACAAAGGAAACAAATTAAGTCAAAATTCAGAGGTCCTGTAGATCTAGGCTAAGACTAATTGTCCCTGTGCAGCAATATAGGGCTTGTAGTGCCATTTTTTTGAAATTTTTTAAGACAAGCCAAGTTCCACATTTTTAAATGAAACTTTCTTATTTTTAAGTGTCAACATCACTTTAAAAAAAAAAAAGAACAAAAAACACCAGGCCAGTCTACCTAAGCTCATGTCTGCATTGGGGTGTCAGCACTTTGAAACGTCCAGGCCACAGAGGGTCTTTGTAAACAAGGAAGGGTAACAGTCTCATTAGTTGTCAGCAGATAAGACTGGGGACAGTGTCATGACCAGACCAGGGAAAGCCTCACACGTGGCCATTTGTCCAGTGGAAGAGGACAACACACGGCAGAGTGGATGTGTGCATCCTGTGTCCTTGAATTCAAGTTCATAACAAGGTCAGTCATTGTTTCCCTTCCTTTGTGATTTTAACTTTAGCATTCCACCTTCCACTGTGATTTCCCACTGAGATATTTAAATAGATTTTTTAAAGCCTGACTTTGAAAGTTGAGGTTTTTAATTTACTTTTATTACTTTTTTCTACTAACTCTTAGAAAATGGGTTTTTCACCCTGATGAGAAAGAGGGGAGCAAGTGTCTGGTTGTCGGGGCCGAAAGGAGAAGCCCGGGGAGACAGCAGAGGAAAAACACACAGGAGAGTCCTCGTTTCAATGACAATTTCTTACAACAACAATCTCTAGAAAGGACCTTTACCTGTTTGAACATAATGCAAAGTAGGTAAGATCAAATAATTATCATTTTGTATGATTAGAAAATATATTGGGGTATCAAGAGAGTCATAGCATTCATATATATTTACTTACAAATGGGTTCCCACACTCCAATAAATGGAAGCCACACCTTAGTGCCAGCAATGTTTTTTTCCAACAGTCAATAAAATATATAGGGATTATTTTTTCTAGACCAGTGGCTTTTACATTTTTGACCACTGTATGTAGAAGTATTTTTGCATTATATATATAATATATATGACAGTACATATATATATACATATTTATAAAAACAAGTCTCATGAAAGAGTACTTGCTTTCACTAAGAGACATATTTTCTAATTTATTTTACTACTTCGTTCTATTTTAATTTAAAATGTTGGTCTGAATCCACTAAACTGATTGTACAACATGGGTTGTGACTTGCACTTTGACAAGCAATGTTATGATAAGTCACCACATTTCTTCAACTCTACACGTAGTCCCACATCCCCAAGTTCTCCCCAGAGTACCCCAGGACCCATCAAGGTCACACTGGGTCCTTCTGCCTTCATTCAGGCTTGTGTAAAATATATCTTCTGTACCATAATCTGCCTCCATTCTCTTAACTCTTAAGTTTATTCATTCACTCATTTTTATTGCTAGTTTCATTCATTCAATGAAATATTCATTGAATATTTACCATGTGGCAGACACAGGTCTT